AACACCTGAGCTCTGCCCCAATCCCACCTCTAGACTGCAATACCAAACATCACTAACCACAAGGGTTTTAATCCTGGCCCAGAGGATGTTGTTGGAATTTCCTGACACTGCAGAAATTTCCTCTTGAAAGGTTTCCTACAGCTGGATTTCACTGCAGTTTTTATGCTCTGGCTTTTCCAGCAGCAGGAATGGCTTTAAGGAGTGACTCTGTCCAGGTCTGTGCTGCAGTCTTTCAGTTTTTACCTCACAAATCCCCCAAATCCACTGATTTTTATTCATTTATCTTTAACCCCCCATTATCCCAGAGATATAAACCAGAATCCTTCTCATCAAGAGATCAGTCATGTACCCAGCTCTGAATCTAAACTAATTCCTACTGGGAGATAAATTATCCTCTCAAGCCATATAAATGAGAAAACATCTCTCTTTGGAATGCCTAAAAAGAAAGCAAAACAAAAAAACCTCAAAAAACCCCAACAAGGATATATACCTTGGAATTATTTCAAGATAAAAAGAGATGAAACAGAACCTCTATTATTCAGTCAAAACCTGACAAATAAATACAGTAGTTAGCAAAATTTTGGTGCAAAATTTGTTCTTGACTGCAAGAAATAGGGAAAAATGTAATAGACTGAAATATTACTGTGCAGATTTTGTTGGTTTTTTTTTAAATAATGGCAGTAAGATACAGCTCAGGCATTAAAAACTTACCAGGGCAATAAAACAATCATGGCTGTTCTGACCAGTGTCTAAAAAATCTGCCAAGTGCACAAGTGATGTAGGCATTATTGTCATGGATGATCCCCCAAGTTATTTATAAAATTAAGTTGTAAAATGCAACAAATATAGTTGTTATTGTAATTGTTTAGTANTCGGCCCCCATGCTGCTGGACTGAGGCACATGGACACACCAAAGGCTGGGACATTGCCTTTTCTGGGGAACAGAGAGGTGATTTTCAAATAGAAACCTCAGAACCACTCTGACCACGCTGAGTCTGAACTGACTTTGGGGATTCTCTGAATCCTCAGTGCAAAGCAGAAG